TTATTGTAGCTCTCAAATGTAAAGCCAGGCCCGGCAACTTTCTTTGCTAGTAAAATATTCCTACCTTCTTCCAGACACCGATATTGATCTAAGAGGTATATGCTTATAGTAACAAAAGTATAAAATGTGGGGACTGAAGATAAAACTTGTACATGGTACATACCTATGACCTGAAAGACAGTGACTGCCTCCAAATGTATACATCTGGATGAATGAATGGAGACCCCAGGATGCTGCATCGACATGGATATATTTTTAAACTATTAAATGTATATATATTTATAGTTCATTTATACATATTTAGTATATACATTTTTAAAATACTCCTTTTCCTTCCAATCCATGTCTCCTTGAAATTCATGAGGATGCAGTATCCTGGGGTCCTCATTCATTCATCCCTCCCCTTTCTCCTCAGTCAGATAAGATTATAAACAATGAGCATAGTATTCGTGGTATTTTAGTTTAAGGATATGGGGAGGGATACAAAAGGGCATCTATTTCTAAGACTGTCTCCGCACACAGGGACAGAATCCTTCCAACAACTATTCCAACTGTCTCTTTCAATCAAACCAAGTCTGGTGATCTGTCCTCACCCCAGTGTGATTGGAACATCTAATCCTACCAGCTCTTCCTGGCTGTGTGGACAGAAAACATCGATCAGTCTGACCAAAAGCTACACCCAGAGTAATTCTGGGAATTTTCCTGTTGCAATTATTTTAAGAAGCAGTTTCAGAAGGTTGGCAATGACAAATTGAATGAAAGTTTGGATGAGTCTGTGGATCAGTGAAAATAATTTATAGGCAGAAAATGTTTTTTTTAATTTTAGATTTTTAAAATGATTATTAAAGTAATACAGCTCATTGCAGAAAATACAGCAAAGCACAAAGAAAAACAAGAAGAATCAACAATAACCCTCCTCCGACCTTGGCTGTGAACAGCTTTTTCAACCTAAAGCTAAATGAATCTGGAGCTAAATGAATCTTCCAGGATCGAGAAATGTCCTTAAGTGTTCTGGCATCTGCCCTTCACTCCAAGAGTTGCCCATCCACAGTCCCAAAAACCCATGCTGACCCTTCCTGCGCCAGCCTTAGTCTTGGGCAGAATTGGTAGCCCCTATAAAGTGAATGTCCAGGGTCCCCAAGGAGGCTTCTGCCCAGATATACTGTTTCAATCTGCTCCCCAGAACCACAACTCAGGAAACAGCACTTGTTATTTCACAGTGAAATTTGGCTAAGTATATATACTCACTGCCTTACACTCATTCACACTAAAATTTAAATAAGGTCTGTGTGATGTTTCTACAAGGAGAAAGGGGGATACCCCAGAACTAGGCATCTGAGTTAGGAAGCAGGATGCCATGGAAGACAGTCCTCATTCAGGAATGAGCCATTCTAATGTCAGGCAGCCCTTCTTGTTAGTGACTCTTTTAAAGCCTAAATGGATCCTGTCGTAACCTGAAACACGGCCATTCTTTGAACAAAAGCCACCTAAGGGGGCTTGTCTTCCAGTGAATTGCGCTATGGTACCTCCATCACCTGGGAGAGCTGGCCTGGCACACAAAAGTCAAATCACAGACATCATTTCTTTTCTACCTTCTTCTCCGTTGAAAATAGCCTCTTTGTCTCACATTTCCTAACTGTTCAAATGAATTCAAAATACGAGGGAGCCCTATCAGGCCAAGCTGTCCAGTTTCACATGAGAATTTCTCATCTTTCCAAAGCTCACAGACTTCTCAGTTTGTTTTCATGTTTGAATTAGACATGGTTGTGGGGTCATTGAACCCCAAATTAATTAAATCCCTTAAATTATCTTTGAGAAAGAGTCATCGTGTGTATTTATTAAATAAAATTATCTAGTGTCTTCTTTCAGATGCTTTTACAATGAACAAATTCCCTTGTTTCCTGGGAATTCTTTGATGTTCCAAAAGCTTCTGGCACATTTTACATGAGACGTTTCTAGGTTCTTCTTCCCTAGAAACAGGAAGTTGACAAAAAGCTCCAAACATTTATTTTAGTTCCCAAAATTGGGATGGGAGATGTCCAATAGGTTCTAAAAATAGTAAAAGCCCTTCAACATGAATTTGGTCTTTACCAAAAGAGTCAATGGATTTAAATTTTGTCTGAAATTTGTCCAAAACCCACCTGGTTAGGTTTGGAGACATCTTCACACTCAATATTCTTAGCCATGAAAATATTACACCTGGAAAATTGCTTTATTTCTGTTCCTTGATAGGAAAAATCATTACAACAACAGCAAACATTCTTGACAAAAAAAACTCACTGTCACTGAACCATCCTATCCTCTCTGTTATAACAGGAATTGGCACATTACTGTCCATGGGCCATATGCGCCTGGTTGCCTGTTTAGTTTTTTGGGTTTTTTAAAATAATTTGTTGAGGTGAAATTCAAATAACAGAAAATTAACTGTTTTAAAGGAAACAATGCAGAGGCAATTAGTACATTCACAGTGTTGCACAACCACAACCTCTACCTAGTTCCAAAACATTTCCATCCTTCCAAAGCAAAATCCTGTTCCCAGGGGCTTCCCTGTGTGGCGCAGTGGTTAAGAATCTTCCTGCCAGGGGCTTCCCTGGTGGTGCAGTGGTTGAGAATCCACCTCCCAATGCAGGGGACACGGGTTCGAGCCCCAGTCTAGGAAGATCTCACATGCCGCGGAGCAACTGGGCCCGTGAGCCACAACTACTGAGCCTGCGCGTCTGGAGCTTGTGCTCTGCAACAAGAGAGGGCCGCGCACCGCGATGAAGAGTGGCCCCCGCTTGCCACAACTAGAGAAAGCCCTCGCACAGAAACGAAGACCCAACACAGCCATAAATAAATAAATAAACAAATTAAAATCATTCGGGGTGCCAAGAAGACCCCTAAAAAAAAAAAAAAAAAGAATCCGCCTGCCAATATAGGGGACATGGGTTCGAGCCCTGGTCCGGGAAGATCCCATGTGCCGCGGAGCAACTAAGCCCGTGCACCACAACTACTGAGCCTATACTGTAGAGCCCATGAGCCACAACTGCTGAAGCCCTTGCGCCTAGAGCCCGTGCTCTGCAACAAGAGAAGCCACCGCAATGAGAAGCCCGCACACCACAACAAATAGTAGCCCCTGCTTGCTGCAACTAGAGAAAGCCACACAGCAACGAAGACCCATCACAGTCAAAAAATAAATTAATTTAAAAAGAAAGTCCTGTACCCATTAAGCAATGTCTCCCCATTCCCTCCTCCCCCAGTGCTTGGCAACCACCAATCTGTGTTCTGTCTCTACTTATTTATTTATCATTTATGTGAAATCTCCAGATTTACTTATTATGGAGGTTTCCTATAAATGAAATCACACAATATGTAGCCTTTGTGTCTGGCTTCTTTCATTTAGCATAATGGTTTGGAGGTTCATCCACACTGTGGCATGTGTCAGTACTTCATTCCTTTTTATGGCTGAATGATATTCTCTTGCATGTGTACACGAGGATTTGTTTACCCATTGATGGACATTTGGGCTATTTCCACCTTTTAGCTATTGTGAATAGTGCTGCTATGAACCTGTGTATATGTACTTGTTTGGGTCCCTGTTTTCAATTATTTTGAGTATATGTCTAGGAGTAGAATTGCTGGGTCATATGGTAGTTCTATGTTTAACTTTTAGAAGAACTATCAAACTGTTTTCCACAGTGGCTACACCATTTTACTATTTTATTTTATTTACACTATTTTATTTATATACACCATTTTAATTCCTGCCAGCAATGTATGAGTTCCAATTTCTCCACATCCTTGTCACCACTTGTTGTTTTCCTTTTTTAAAAATTGCTATCGCCATCCTAGTGTCATTACCTGTTTTTGTGAATAAAGTTTTATTGAGACATCCGTGCCAATTCATTTACTTGTCTATGGCTGCTTTTGCTACAACGGCAGAGACTGTATGTCCCACAAACCTAAAATATTTACTATCTGGCCCTTTGAGAAAAAGTTTGCTGAACTCTATTTGAGAAGATTAGCCCTTTTTTTCTTTGTCATTTTATTTCACAGCTCCCCAGAATAAGACCAAATAATACTGCTGTGACCTTGGGTGAGTTAACTTATTTTCAATCTTAAATTTCCTTATCTATAAAAAGATATGATAGGACTAGTTGATTTCCAAGTTCTCTTCTGGAATTTTATAATAATCTGATAAACTATGGTACTTCCAAAATGGGTAATTAATTTGCAGTTCATGCTTTCTTATGTAGTCTGTAACTTGCTCAGCTATCTTTTGGCTTAAACGAATGCTTGCCTCTGTTATCTCTTTGATCTATTCATTATACAAACAGGGAACAGCAGTCAATGCCTAGCTCACGGTTCTTTCTCTGTACCAAGTTGCAATGATGTGGTAGGGTTCTCTAGGAAGGTAGGAACAAACTATCAAGTGGGAATTCCTGGCTCCTCTAGTGAGGAGAAAAGAATCCTGTCAAAACTGAATGGTGTCATTGGTGGTTTCTTAAATACACAGCTGTGCCCAATTTAAGACCAAGTCCTCTTTCTCCAGCTTCTCAAGCTGACGAGGATGGGGCAGGAAGAAAACAAAGAGAAAGAGAGGGAGTGGGGGAGAAAGAATAGGTTATTTAATAACACTTCACTAAAGGAATGCTGGGGGCTTCCCTGGTGGCGCAGTGGTTGAGAGTCCGCCTGCCGATGCAGGGGACGCGGGTTCGTGCCCCGGTCCGGGAGGATCACACATGCCGTGGAGCGGCTGGGCCCGTGAGCCATGGCCGCTGGGCCTGCGCGTCCGGAGCGTGAGAGGCCCGCGTACCGCGAGAAAAAAAAAAAAAAAAAAAGAATGCTGAAGTTGAACACTTCATATTAATAACCTGTTCCCCGCGTGGGAAGGCTGGGAGACAGAGCAAGCTACCTAAGTGGGCACCTCGATCTGAACACGTTCACCAAGAGCTGGATGTGGACGGGTCACCAATTTTCAAAATGCAGAAACAGAAGTGAAGGGCCTGGCCCGTACTCACCAGGGAAATTCATTGCAGAACATGGATGAGACCCCAGTGTCCTGACTCCAATCCAGGAAAAGGAGGAACGGGGGCAGCGTCTGCTCAGGAGAGGAAAGGACATATTTTGACCCATCTGAGCGGTTGTAACTCGTCATGGTGAAAGGTACAGGGGGACATCCTGCTGGTTTGACCAGAATCAACGTTGCCTGCCACGATCAGGAAGGACCCACCTGTCCACAAGTAATTGTAAAACACACCTGGGCTCTCAGTCCCCGTGGGTCTCCAAGCTGGCCTGAGTGAAGCTGCACCATGGCCCGAGTACCGTGTTGCGGGTCACTCGTCACCTGGCTGAAGTCCCTGGTGAACAAACTGCAAACACTCGGGAGAGGGCTCAGGAGGCTCATGTCCCTCCCTCCACACACACGGGAGGAATCGGCAGGTGTCCTGGGCCAAGCGCGGGCAGTGCCCCAGCTGGCTTGGTCTCACCCAGCAGACCCACTTCCGTCACCAGCAGGTTCCGCCTGTGTATCCCCTGCAGTCCCGCCAGTGCCCTTCAGAGTTGGGGTGAGGCGGCCAATACCTGATATGGGGCTGTCACTACTATTTTGGAACATCCTCAACCTCAGTGTCACCAGCAAAGCCCACTGGGGTGTGGGAGGGAGAAAAAGATGGAATCTAGGTGATAAGGTCTAACCTCTTCCTTTGTGCTTCCTCTAGTTTCGCTTGCTCATGGGTAGGGGGTGGGGCGCTCGTGCAGAGATGCTGCGCCCTGCACTGTGATCTGGAGTGTCAGCAGCACAGCTGTGCCCTTCCCTTGAGAACCTGCCCCCTCCCCGCTGACGAGATCCCTATAAAGCAGTCCGGCCCACGGCCTGGGGGAGACCTTGTGCTCTAGATCGCAATCCTGCAGCTCTCCATTCTTTGATCAAAGAATAAAGCTTTCCTTTGCTTCTGAACCCAACTTGGTCTGGTTCTATTGGTGCAAAAGACACCGGGCAGAAGGATGCCTGCTGGCACCCGGCTTGAAAGGGTTGGTAACAAAAGTCCATTTTTTCCTGCTTTATTAAGGTATGATTGATTGACAAATAAAAATTGTATACATTCAGGTTGTATAATATGATTATTCTTTTTCTTTTTTAGGTGTACAATGGGGCTTAATATATGTGTCCATCATGAAATGATTACCACGATCAAGTTCATTAACACATCCATCACCTCACATAGTTACCATTGTTCTTCAAAGTTCATTTTCATTTTTAAAATCCAGGTTCACCTGTTTCCCATTCCATGCACCTTGAATCTCTTTCTGGTCCCACTCTGCTTCCTCCCCACACTTTGCAAAAGCTGTTTCCTCTGTTAGAAGGTGCAGGTCCTATTCTTTGGCCAACTTCTACAAACCTCTCAAGATCCAAGTCGAATGCCACCTCCTCCAGGTAGCCTTCCCCATTCTTTCCTGTCTCACTTTTACCATAGCGTGGATTGTACTGGAACATGCTTCCCCTGTTACTTCTTCCTTCACAGCTAGTCTGAGTCTCTGGAGGACGAGCACTGGCTCTCTTACCTCTGCTTCGCTCCCTTTAGCTCTGAGCCAGCATGCAGCAGGCACTCCATGAATGAAAGGATGAAGAAATGAATGAATGAAGTGCCTTCCTCCAAAGCTGAGCTCTGCCTGCTGCAGTTCCTCAGAAATCCCTTCCCTTGTAGTGGGGGAGCCTCTCCCTCTGAGAGCTCTGTCCCTGAGGCCCCCCTCACACACCGGACGCTCAGAGATTCAGCACACCTCCCTGCTGAGGCTCTGGGAGCGGACTCTTCTCATGGGTGCTTTTTTTTTTTTTTTTTTTTGCGGTACGCAGGCCTCTCACTGTTGTGGCCTCTCCCTTTGTGGAGCACAGGCTCCGGACGCGCAGGCTCAGGGCCATGGCTCATGGGCCCAGCCGCTCCGTGGCATGTGGGATCTTCCCGGACCGTGTCCCCTGCATCGGCAGGTGGACTCTCAACCACTGCGCCACCAGGGAAGCCTCATGGGTGGTTTTTGAAAGAGAGTATTGTCTCTGTTACACTGCTGGGCTGCTGTGAGCCTACGCTGTCCTCATCTGGCTTTTCCTACCTCCGTTAAATGGTCATCACCTGCTCAGTCTCTCAACTGGAAACGCTTGCATGATTCTTTCCCTGAGTTTTCACCCCCACCAGTGACCAAATCCTTATGATGCCGCCTCAGTCATTTCTCTTCAATTCTCCGTCAATCGCCTGCTCTAGAGGAGGCCACAGATGAACTGGGAGGGTCTCCTAACTGCTCCCCCTGCATGAACCTATCCCCCCACCTCAGCATCTGAACGTACTGCCTGAGGGAGTTTCTTCCAAACCAGTCCAACCGCATTGCTCTCCTCCTTAGTCCCCCCGACCCTGGCCCTGGGGATGGTCCAGGCCCCGGAGCACTGCACGTCCCTTCCGCGCAGCCTCATGTCCTCTCCAGGCAGCCTGTACCACGTGCAGCCCTGAGTGCTCACCAAGTCCTGGAAGCTCTGGGTCTTCTGTGACTCTGGCCTTTGCCTTTGTGGTGGTCTCTGTTTTGCCCTTCCTCGCACCCCTCCCTGGCTCAAAACCCGCTCTCTGTGTGGAGCGCCCCCCGGGCCTCCTGCAGCTGAGCCACCCCTCCTCCTTCCACTACTGTCACCACTCGCCACTCTGCACGCCCCTGCAGTATGGCTCTGTCCCCGGTTACACGTAAACTCCCCGAGGGCAGTGTCCTGCGTGCTTCACTCACCTCAGAATCCCTAACAGCTCAGACCATGATTGGCCTTTAACGTGAACATCTAAATCAGCTGGGTCCTCGGCCTCAGGCAGGCCTGACTGCTGTCAGAGGTTAAGGGAGCAAAGGGAGCAAAACAAACATATTGAATACCTGCCTTGTGCCAGCTAAGGGTCAGCCACGTATCTGCTAATTTTGCATGTGAAACAACATCATATCAAGCCCACCCCGACCTAGCATGGGTGATGGAAGCTGAGAGGGGTGAGGGGAGAGTTGGATGATGGTAGCAGCTGGAAGGCAACGGAGGGCAGCAGCCAGTGATAAAGGGGCACCCAGGCAACACTTGGTAGAATTACGGCACTCCTGGTTCTGTCTGCTGTGCAGCAGTCACCAAGCAGGAGCCCTGTCTCACTCTGGAAGGGCACATTAGTGTCCCCTTCCTGGCTGACCCCTTGTGAGAGCATCATGGTATAATGGAAGGGGCAGGGGCTTCAGAGCCACGGAGACCTGGGCTCAAATCCCAGCTCAGCTATTGCTAGCTGTGTGATCTCAAGCAAATTACTTAACCTCTCTGATCTTCAGACTCCTCTCCCAAAAAACAGAAATTAAAAAAAATTATCACAGTATTATTTATTCCTAGAACAAATATTGTTCTGAGTCCTCATTTGTATCATCTCTGATCTAGTCAGTGGGAATACAGAAGTTTCCAATATAATACATACTTAAATATTAGTTTCTTTGACCTCTGCTATTTATTCCCCAGTCAGAAGCACAGAATCCTTAGAGAAATCCCCTCCATTCTTTCTTTCCTCCAGTGCACATTATTCCATCCTCCAAGTAAAGATCATCTGAAGATAATAGTGACACCCAACACTTACGAGGTACTTCCTATGAGCTAGGCATTATTGAAAGTACTAACATTTACTAACCTAATGCTCACAACACAGATTGGTTTTACAAGTAAGAAAACAAAAGGCACAGAGAAGATAAGGAATTTGTCAAGGTCACACAGCTGGTGAATGATGGAGCTGGGATTTGAACCTGGGCACCCCAGTTCAAGTCCACAGCCTGAGCCAATACATTAGAGATTAGACATTTCAGCCCCTCTGGATGACAGTGACTTCAGAGCTGTCTTTCTTCCCCATCCCTTCTTTTCTTTTCTCTTTTCCTCTCTTCCTCTCAACTGAAGAAACCGAAGGTCACTTTGGACAGGGTTAGATGACATGCTCAAAGTTACACAACTCCTTGCGGCATTTATCCTGACTCCCGTTCCTGTGCCCTTCCTATGACACTGCAACACTAGACGATCAGTATGAAGGTAAATGGCTGAAATTAATGACCATTTTGAGTAAATAACTTATATGACTTTATCCTCCCAGTTAAAACAATCATTTGCAGGTATCAAATCTGATGGTAAAATATATATATATTTCCATTAGATGGCATTATGTTTCTTTTACTTTAATACCGATCTGAAAAGCATGCTTTGTTTTTGCTAGCGTTGTTTGAATTTCTGCCCCCATAAATATTTGCACTGTTGCCTTAGTTTTAATTAGTTTCTGGTGTTTTCCTTGGACTGGTTTTACGATGGGATGGGAGTGGAGTATTTACAGTCTGACCTGCCATCTGTGAAGCTTTGCATCCCCAAACCTCTGTAGCCACAGCTCAGAGATGACATCGACGTACAGTCAAAACAAGCCAGGGGTGTTCGTGAGCAAGGCAGTGCCGTGTCTCAGCTGCTAAGTGACCCTGAAACACCCAGAGGCAGCCATCACATAGGGACACTACAAACAAGCCTCCCCCGAATCTTCCAGAACTTTGCCCTTGAACTGACTCAAGGTCACCACAATCCAGAAGCTAATTCCAGGAAGAATTTGTTCTTGGGTCAAGGGGGTACTGAACCCAGAGGAGATAAGAGGCTGAATAGATGCCATTGAGAAACTGGGGCAGAAGCCTACAGAGGCTGGTGTAGGTGATACATGAGACATTGTAGGAAGAACACTATTTGCAGATAGAAGAATTTCCCAGCTTATCTGTGTGAGTCGATGAACTCCTCTGAGTTTCGATTTCCTCATTTGTAAAATGGGGGTAATAATACTCATCTTGCTGATCACCTAGGGATCATATGAGGAAATTAGGTAAGTGAGATCAATCTGAAAACTGTAAAGTGCTCTAGAAATATGATGAATTGTATTATTGCTGTTCTGTAATGTATATGTAAAGGAAGTGGAGTTTCACTGGAAGAACATATATAACAATGATTTCCACTTAAATGCACCAGAAACAATGATGCAATTAATTATGAGACTTCTACTGCATTTTTAAACCCAGGGGAAGCTTTGCAAGCAT